GGCCCAAAGTCACCCAACTGTCTTTCATGTCTAAGGCAGGACTAGAATTCACCATCTCCTGGTGGTTGTCCCAAAGTCACCCAACTGTCTTTCATGTCTAAGGCAGGACTAGAACTCACCATCTCCTGGTGGTTGTCCCAAAGTCACCCAACTGTCTTTCATGTCTAAGGCAGGACTAGAACTCACCATCTCCTGGTGGTTGTCCCAAAGTCACCCAGCTGGCTTTCATGTCTAAGGTGGGACTAGAACTCACTATCTCCTGGTGGTTGGCCCAAAGTCACCCAGCTGGCTTTCATGTCTAAGGCAGGACTAGAACTCACCATCTCCTGGTGGTTGTCCCAAAGTCACCCAACTGTCTTTCATGTCTAAGGCAGGACTAGAATTCACCATCTCCTGGTGGTTGTCCCAAAGTCACCCAACTGTCTTTCATGTCTAAGGCAGGACTAGAACTCACCATCTCCTGGTGGTTGGCCCAAAGTCACCCAACTGTCTTTCATGTCTAAGGCAGGACTAGAATTCACCATCTCCTGGTGGTTGTCCCAAAGTCACCCAACTGTCTTTCATGTCTAAGGCAGGACTAGAACTCACCATCTCCTGGTGGTTGGCCCAAAGTCACCCAGCTGTCTTTCATGTCTAAGGTGGGACTAGAACTCACCATCTCCTGGTTTCTAGGCCAACACCTTAACTATAATACCAAACTGGCTTTCTTCATTCTCATTCGGTCTCATTATACCAAGTCAGGTCTCAAACAACAGTGTTAAAAATAGTCAGAAGATCTTGAGAAGTTTAGGTCATCAAGCGAGTGTTCAGAAGGCCTTGCCATTCTACCCTGCTCTGTCTATTTCTTGGTATTTCTGACAAAGATCTTGCCTTTGGAGATTGAGACTGGAGCTGGAGCTTATTGTGAAGAACAAATGCTTGATCTATGGAGAATTTGTGATGTCTTATTCACTGGGAATTTTAGAAAAGTAGCCTGGACAGATTTGACACGCACCAACTCAAAATCATGACTGCTTGTATGCCATGGTGTTTGAATGGCACACTGGCATACTTTTTATATAAGAAAACGTTAATAATGTAAGAAAAACTTTAAAAATATCATATACCGTAGGTGCTCTACCAAAAATAGACAAGATTGTTGGTACCATGTAAGTCTCCCTTCCCATTTTTACGCAAATTACTTTCTTAACTACCATAGTCTCATAGGTTATTTTATTGCTTCCAATTCCGCCCATATTAAGCCAGAACATAAAATTAAGGCCTTTTAAAACATTTCTCAGCAAAATGCAGGCAGATGCAATGAAAATTTCTCCCCGTGTTCAGATTCATTTTCCGGTCTCATCTAACATCTTTTGGACAAAGACGTTTTTAAACGAATTTGGGGAATTAGGAATAAAAACAATGGCAGGCAATGTTGCCATTTTAAACTATGCGTGTTTTGAATATGAAGTAGAAATCTTGCTTCACAACAGCTTCGTGATCAAAGGGACGAGATTCAAATCAAAAGCGGGAGCCGTCGATTTCGCTATTTATTCCCCGCTTGTAATGTAAATCTTACATTACATTACAAAAATCGTAAAGACTAGCTAGATAGATTTTTTTTTTTTTTGCTATTTATGCTCCCGTTGTAATGTAAATCGTCCCACTGAAGTCAAAGGGACGAAGAGAGATAGCAAAGAGGAAAACAGGCAAAATAGCAAAACTGTAAATTGGAATAAATTGTGTGGGTTTTTTTTTTTTTTTTTTTGGATTCTCGATGTAGTTTGGCCCAGCCGTGTGATAGAAATGCGTGTTAGATACATTCAGTTCCCACTGTACATAATTATTCTGATACGATCATACAGAGGCATCCTTCTGGCTTTGGAGAATTTCTACGCTCTTTCATTAAACTAGAGTTACTCATCCGTTTAAAAAGTTGAGATTACAGAGGCACGATTGCGGCACCTAAGGGGCTAGATTAAAAAAAAAAGGAAAGGAAAAAAAAACAAAAGGAAAAAGAGAGGGAATTCTCTTATCTATCCTGGCTTTTAAGGAACCCTCTCTGCCTGCACCCTCAGTCCTTTAGCAAACATCCCCCAGGTTTCTTGGCAGGTTGACACCAGAAAAAGGCAGCATCCCATACTTTCCATGGCTCGCTGTTCTGATGAATGTACCACCTGTTCTGTATCTGGGTCTGAGTTTGTGGCACAAGAGAAGGGCCAGTTTTTTTTAAAAAAAAAAGCTGGCAACATCGTAGGCACATTGATGGAGAAAATCATCGGAGGCTGTTGGCAGAGCTAGGTTGGATATACCTGCTCCACGTCCATCTGTTAGGCCATTGTAGATGTCTCTCCTGACTGAATTTCATTTGTCATGTTTTGGTTCCTTTGAGTCTCCTAGACTCATTGCACGAGCCTCGATGCAACAGTTGAAAAAGATACCCCCTGTGATGACCCGGTGCGTGGCACAAAGGCAACACAGCCGGATAATCAGTAGAAATCCCTTTATTAGCTCCATCTTTGCCCCCAATGTCCTGGTTACCTTCTGGGCTGGAGAAAAACTCTTTGGCTGCAGAGAATCAAGTCCAAAACGTGGTCAACAAAAACTGTAACTATAAGTCCAATCAAGGCAAGAGGAGGTAATTAGTCCAGCAGGCCAGGAGAAGGAATTTCAGACGTGAAGGAACGGCCATAATTCAACACGGTTGGGAGGATGTCAGGAACACAGATAACCAAAGTCAACACAAGATAAACTCATGTTTATTTCCAGCAGACGCCACACTCAGTATGCATCGCTTTTAAACTCTCATTTCCAGGTGTGGCTAATGAAGGGAATCAGGGCCCTTTCCTCCCCCGTAAGCCATGCAATCCACGTTGCTCTCTTCTCTGTTCCTCCCTGTGTGCCCTAGGATAAAGAGGGGGTGGGGCTGGATCTTCCTCTGAACTCCCTCTCCCTTGTTCTACCTCTCCCTTGTTCTACCTCTTCCCTGCTCTGCCCAGCCAGACTTTGACCTCCCCCAGTTTCCTCCACAACCAACGGAGCCACACTCCCACTCCCTGTCAGCTGTTCAGCTTCCTCCTCAGATTCAGACTCCGACAGGGGCATGACACCCCATCCAGGTGAAGCCTGGGCTTGTGGGTCCCATTTATCTTGATGGGACTCTACATGATGTCTCACCTTCAAAGGAGGAAGAGGAGAAAGCAAGAACCGTTGAACTTGGACCTTCTCTTAGTCAAATGTCCTTCTTTTCTTTTGTCTGCGGTCGACATAGGGGAAATTAATGACGTGGTTTTGCTTAATGCCCGTTCTGTTAGTGCACCCTCTTAACAAGGATGAAGGAGATGTAGCTTGCACTTTTCTTTCAATCCTAATATTTCAGTGGGAGGAAAAATCCAGGACAGGTTGAGAAGATAATACCTTAACACAATACGACTTTAAGCCAAAGCTTTCTTTTTCCATTATAATGGCTCTGCTTCTGATCACTGGAGTCTAATACTTTTTGTAGCTAATGCCTTTTCTGGAATTGGAAGGTCCATCTTCCCAAACTGCTGCTGTCAGAAGACAAACAACTTCAGCAAAAGGGGAGTATGAATGCAGGGGCTGACTTTTTTGTCGGGTGTGTGTGTGTGTGCGTGTATGTTTATAAATCAGGCATTCTTCCTTGCAATCTCTGTATGTCGCATCTATGGGCTTCCAATCCCCGCAACATACATATTAAGTATATTCTGGGACAGAAGCATATTCATTGAATTAATCTTTAGATTTGCACTCTGCTTTTATTAATCAAATCCACCATGGTTCCTAGTAGTAAAGATAATAGAACTGAATCTTCCCATTGTCCTGGTTCTGTGTGGGACTCCATTCCTTGAGAAATATCTAGAAGATGGAAGATGGGGAGGGGGAGGAGTAAAGAAGGGAGGAGGAGGAGGAGGAGGAGGAGGAAGAGAAAAGATGGAAGAAGAAGAAAAAGGAAGAAAAGGAGAAGGAGATCCATCCAATAAGGATCATTCTTGGTGATTCCATGGGCCAGGTCTCTCCACAACTTTCAGTCTTGCACTACTTTTTTGCGTTGTTCTCAGAAGAATAGCCTTAATGGCAGGCTGGTTTCCTTTTATTGCTAACTCTTCCAAACTTCTAGAAAATGGACCAGGCGAGAACTTTCTCAGTAGTGACCCTTGTTCTTTGAAACTGTCTCCCTCTGCCCCCCCCCTCCCCCAAGTATGGGGGATCCCTCTATCCTATTTGGATCTCATAATTCGACCCGCAAGGGTACTAGTTCAGCTCGTTCACATTTTAATAATGGAGCGCTTCTGAGGTTTCTTTTTATCGTTTGACCTGTTTCTCTAGTTGTATCTTGCACGGACATAAATAGTCATTTCCCTTTCTTGTTTTTAAATTGAATAAAATGCATTTTGTTTTAACTGTGGTATGCTGGGTCTATGGCTTAATTATGTAAATAAATGAAATGCTTCTTAAGCTGAAATGGATGGGCAAAGCTTGGCCTCTTTCCAAGTGGACCTGAATTCTGTCTTCTCAATCCTGTGCCTCAGCGCCTCTCTCTGCCCAACAGGTTCAGGATGAAGCAGGAAAACATTGTTGGCCAAAGCCCGTTCAGCCAGCCCTCCCGGGTCATTCAGACCCTCCAGGCACCCCCAGATGTGGCACCAGGGAGTGTGACTGTGCGTACTGCCAGTGAGACGAGCTTGTGGGTCCGCTGGGTGGTAAGTTACCAACAACTGACCTGTGTAGAAGAAAGCATGGCTTCTCCTTGAATTGACCTCCAGGTGGGTGGAATGGCATCCCCAAGAACCCCAGGGAATAATGGGAGACAAAAGATCAGGACCAACTGCTATGTTGCAGCTCTCAAAGCTTTAACGTTCAAGCCTACATACAAGAATCCAGTCAAAGTTCAATGCTAAATTGGCACCAGATGAGGATCGACAGAATTCAAAAGGGGTTGGATCATTTGTGGCAACGTAACGATTCTAAGCTGATGACACACTTAACTCCACCACCCAGCTCTGCTTGCTCTTCTTCTCGTTATACTTCTAGAAATGATAGAGAGGGATGATGATCCATTAATTTTTTCTTTTGTTATTTCCTCCTACCCCAAAAACACTCTGTTAAATCGTACCGGTAACTAAGTTCCTGACCCCTCCCCCCTGTTCTTTTTCCTAATTTCTTTGCAGTTTCTTATCTGCACCTGGGCAGGCATAAATCGGAGCCTGACTTCTCCCTAGGTAGGGCTCATATACTAACAGGCCAACTACTAAAATCATAGCAAGACATTTCCAAGGCAACATATCGGGACTCCACCATATGTTGCCTCTTTGTTTACTAAGGCAATACGACTCCAAAACTAATGAAAATGAATTCTTAGCCGCCGGAGCTGCTTTTTATTGAATTCCCTGAAAGTTTTAAACTGTAAAGAAAATGGTTTTCGCATAGAAACAGGAGTGAATATGGAGGTTATATCTCCGTGATAGATTACAGAGCTGAGTGATTAACTCGGGAACCGGGTGATAAATGGCACGGCCTTTGATAAATGAATTTATCTTGTGCCTTTGACTGCTGATCCACCCTTGCTTGATGAAAATTCATTCAAATATTCCAATTTCTGCCGCCTCTCCAAGACACCTTCCTGTTCTGCTGCTGAATGCAAAAAAGAAAAGAAAAACCCTGCTCCCCAATTTCTCCAAGCAAGTTCACAATCCTCATCTTGCCGAGAAGGGGAGCCTCCCCACCCCCCGCCAAGTCCCTGTGCTTTTTCCAGGTCATTAAGGCACACCATTAACCACCGGAATGAATTTCTCCTCTTGTTTATTATCTGCTGATAAAAGTAGCTGCAGATCTTAGCAGACATAGCCCAGATGCTGATGTGTGTGCCAAAACCAGCACTTTGGATCCCAGTCAAAGAGGTGTGGGATGTTGCATTAAATGTGGAAGATGGATTAATTGGAAGGGAGCCAGAGAGGTGGGCAAAAATGGCAGGTGAGGACCACCTGACTGTATAATTAGTGTTATTAATGATGTGAGCCACATGTCTGGCTCTGTCTTACTAGTTTGCAGGCAGCTATCAATCCTGAAAGTTCAAGTATCTAATAAAGGAGAATACTTGCAGCTCAGGGTTGAAATGAGAGGTGAACTGATGATGTTGCCTAGTTGGGTAATGAAATGTCTGTAAGAAGTTCAGAGAGCTCCAAGGACCTCTCATTTCAACCCTGAGCTACAAGGATTCTAGACAAGAACTACAAATCGATGCTTGAACTGGTCCTTGGTGATCTCTGGGCTTGGTTGGGTTTTTTTTTTTTTTTTTGCAGATGTTTCATTATCCAAACTTAGATAGCATCATCAATGCTGCCTGATGCTGTTCACTAGTTGGGTAATGAAATGTCTGCAGGAAAACTACCAAACCCAGAGAGTGCCAAAGACCCCTCAAGTTCAAGCATCCATCTGTGGTTCTAGAATCCTCCTACTTGCCAAGGTCGTTTGTGAGAATATTTATTTTATTTATTTATTAAACAAAGCTATATGGCTCTCCAACTCGCTCCTAGGCAACTCTGGGTGTCTTATGACATTAAAAATAAGGACAACCCATAACCCCCCTTCCCCCATAGCAGCAACAGCGCAATCAAATTGACCACTTGATCGGTTCCGTCTCTGTTTATGATCCTCAGGCCCCTTGACAAAACCATATGTCTTCGGGGCCTTTTGAAAAAGCAACATGACTATTGTACCTCCGAGTGAATGACGTTCCACAGAGAAGGGGCCACCCCTGAGAAGGTCCTTTTCCATGATCCCATCAGATGCAAATCCCTAATCAAGGGGACTCACAATGTACCTTGCCTTCCCTTCCTAGTGTGCTGGGTGGATGGAACTGGGGAGAGATGGTCCTTCGAAAAGCACGCAACAGGCAGAGAATTAAGTGACCTGACCCTCACTGATCCTTTCCTTCTTCTTCTGACCACACTCAGCCTCTGCCTGATGCACAATACAATGGGAACCCTGAGTCGGTGGGTTATAGGATCAAGTACTGGTGTGTGGACGCGCAGTGTCCTGGCCTGGTCAAGGTCATCAGCGACCGACTGGAGACAGAAGTCACCGTCGAGGATCTTCAGGAATGGACCGAGTATGAACTGCAGATCCAAGCCTTTAATTCCATTGGGTCGGGACCCTGGAGCGAGGTAGTGCGAGGCCGTACGCGAGAATCAGGTGAGCAATGGGAAAAGAGCATCTCTTGTTGCTCTTAAATGGGTTTTTTTTTCCGCAAGCATTTCTGGGACTGGGATAGAAGAGATTCACATCAGAAAAGTTTTTTTTATACATCAGTCCAATTCCGTCAGCTCTGAAACCAAGAATGACGTCTGGCTGTTCTTTTCCAAGCTGAGTTCTTTATTGTTTCATACCTATAGACAGAGTCTTGCCAGACTGAACTCTCTACTATCTGCATCTACAATATACTCTGGGAACTATTGTGGAGGGGCTGTCTTCACCCTCTATCTCTCTCATGTGATTTCTGGGCTGAGTTGCCTCTTACTCCTCTAGAATCCATCCCTTCCCTCCTGGGGATCCACTTCCATACTACATCCCATCACAGATTCATGCAGTCCAGCTCTGCCAAATAATCCAATTTTAGCAAGAGTGGCTCTCAACCAAGCAGGTTCCGCAGGATCTACGACCAGAAGAAAGACCCCATCAGAGGAGCAAGGCAAAGTAGCCAGGCAAGCTCATGAACTCCGGCAGAAGGTAGTAATTAAGTTGTTATCTAGATAACTTCTAACAAGGCTTCTTCCTCGACTCCCGTCCCATATGCACCCCGTGTAATTTACCTTTCTCCTGTGGGTGAATAATTGAGCGCAGTGACCTTTCTGGAATTAAATATTCGATAGCGAGATTAAATCACGCCACGGCTAACCTGCCCAATGAGTAGGGGTTGTATTTGCAATTTGTCTCCATAATCATACAAGGCCTTCCCGTTGCTGCGTGGCTAAGGTTGTGTCTCGTTTATCACCGAAAATAGGACTTGCCCTTTGCGCCTCTTTTTTTTTTTCTTTCCGCAATAAAATGCCTGGCGACTTCCAATTTGCATATTTTCATTAACGATGATGGAAGAAGGGATCAATTAAACCAAAAGAGAACCGTGGGGAGTGCTTCGCTCTTGAACAAAAGTAGTTGAGATGGTGTCAGGTAAGGAGGATTGACCCCTTGATGCGTTGTGCAAAGCCATCCAAGAGATTTACAACAACCGCATGGGCAGAGGTGGGTATTCAGCCAGTTTGGACCAGTTCTGGTGTACCGGTAGTGAAAATTTTGACTAGTTTGGAGAACTGGCAAATGCCACCCCTGGCTGGGGTGCAAGGCTCTATAGTGTCGTTTTGAGGGTGGGAATTGACACAGTTTATGTCCGGGATGTGAGGGGGTTCTCTCAAAAGATCTACCGAGGATGATTCGGAAGTTAATTGTGCAGAATTCAGAAGGACTTAACCCGTCTAGCAATGAATCCATTCCCTCTCTAAGAAACTTCTATGAAAAGGTCAACCTTTCTTGGGAGAAAATACGCAGGTCGCAATGGTCAGCTTATAAGAACTCCAAGGCGTAGCTACTGACAGACAATCCTGGCAAAATTGCATCTGTTGTGTCTCGAAGAGTCAGAAGCAATTGAACAGCCGAAAACCAACAGCGGTTGGATGACAAGTCACAACCGAAATCTGGCGCGGTGCTGTCGCTTTTTCGGTGTGTCCCCCCTCTCCCGTCCCCTGAGAAGCCGTTCATAACAGAGTTTCTCTTTGTAAAGATCTGTAGATAAATCCGAGGCAACCTGCCAAAAACACTCGTGTCTCGTTGGCAGTCTATAGTCCTTTAACATAATTATATTCTCGCGAGAGATAACTCTAGGAGAAGAGGAACCTAAAAATAAAAATAAAATAAAATTCAACCTGAGGAGCGAAGATAGGGGGAATGGGAGAGGGGACTAGAATTTTCTTCTGATACCCCGGCTAATTGGTAATGCAGAAACTGTTGCGGAGGTGATTTGATCAACCTGGAGCCTCCTGTGTGTATGTGTGTGTGTGTGCATGCGTATTTCTCGTGAATACCCTTGCGTGACTCAGGTATGGCGTTAAAAGTGACAGGTGGTGAGGTTTTGACAGGTCTGAAATGTTGTGCATGCTATTGACGAAGAAGGAACGAGACACTAACTATCGGTGATGCCTCCTTTCACCCCACACATCCTGTTCTACCCTTGAGTAGGACATCTTCCTCCCCAATAGCTACTGGTGATTATTCCACATTTGATTGACAGAGAAGGAGAAGGAGAAGGAGAAGGAGAAGGAGGAGAAGGAGAAGGAGAAGGAGAAGGAGAAGGAGAAGAAGAAGAAGAAGAAGAAGAAGAAGAAGAAGAAGAAGAAGAAG